CTCTACTGTAAAAATTTGCATAAATACCTCCTCTCTTTTTGAAATTTAGTTCTAAAATTCTCGTGGTTCTAAAACGTTGTACCCACACCCTTTCCAATCATTTTTCGGTCATTTTCCGGCGAAGAGAGAGCATTGGTGCCTATTTGTAAACCATAGGGGCACACGAGCTCATTTTTAAATTTTTATTTATTAATTTGTTTTTTGTTATTTTCACTTTTACTATCTCTTTGTTTCCCGGCCTTTCCTACAAAAGTTTTTTGCATTTATTTTAAATCTTTTATAATTATTTTAAAACTACAAAATTCATTGTGTTCAAATTAAACATTTTTACTTTTTATTTTCTAGAATAGTGTTTTAGGTAAAGTTCAAAAAGAAAATACATAGTAAACTAAATAAAAATAAAAGTATGGAAAACGAAATGAAAAAAATTGAAGCACCTAAAAAAGAGTCTTATACAAAAAGAAATTTTACCGCCTAAAAAAGTCCTTAGAATTGGGATGTCCCACAAGGATATTCATTTTTATTTTTTGTTTTATTTTATTTCTTATTTTATTCTTCATTTTTTGAAGTTCTCAAAACAATTTTTTATTTTTTATTTTAAAAAAATTGTTACTTTGAAGTATTGTAATTTTAAAAATTGTTAAGAACATTATAAAAGAAATTTTAAGAAGAAATTTTAAACACTTTGATTAATAAAAGAAACAAAAAGGAAAAAGAACAAAAAAATCGAAAAATAAGAAATGAGCACTAATATAACGTCCCTTATGATTTGGAAAATAGGCATCAATGCCTCCTTCGCTAGAAAAATGGCCAGAATATATTTAGAGGGAGTATGAGTACAACATTTTGAAACTACACGGACATTAGAAATAAATTTTGAAATTAGGAAGGGTATTGGTACCTATTTTGCAAACCACAGGGTATTGGTGCTATTTGGCCTATCGTTATGCATAAAAACACTAGGGACGAATAAAGTTACGGGAGAAAATAATACTTGGTAATAGTAGTATAGTAGTAGTAGTAATAATAACAATAATAATAATAATAATAATAATAATAATAATAATAATAATAATAATAATAATAATAATAATAATAATAATAATAATAATAATAATAATAATAATAATAATAACACTAACAATGTCCATGCAGGAAATTCAGCCACGCACGTAAACCGACCACCGCTGCCCAACCCACTAACACTCACTCACCATTCATACCAAAAAGTTGTATAAAAAATCACAAACTTTAATCATTATGCATCTCCAGCCTTACTGATATACTATGCTATCATGAATCATTTCTACATTTTTTCTCCTTGTTCTTTTTTCATTAAGGGCACATTTTCACATTGTAGACTCCCTAATATAAAGAAGATGTTGGAATTAATTGTTTAAAACAAAAAACAGAAAGGAAGAAATTGTTTGGAGCAAATGGTTTTCAGTGTATTATTCATCTGCCCAGATTTCTAATATATAAGCAAGAAAATAACAAATTCCCTACAAAGTAGCAACTAATCATGGAGCCACATCCTGGCACCAATTACTTATTCAAAGGAATAACAAATGCCATAAAAAACTCCTAGAGACTTGGTAGTACCTAGACCAAGTCACAGACACTTACGAAACTGAATTATTCATAACATTTCTCCCCCTAATTCAGTTATCCCGAACTGGTCTAACACCGATCCTATCTCGGATCTCAATAAACTTGGTGTTTCCCAACGGCTTCGTGAAGATGTCGCCAAGTTGCTCCGCTGTTCTGACGAAGTCTACCTCCATCTTGCCTTCTTCAACACAATTCCGGATATAATGATACCTTGTATCAATGTGCTTACTCCTTCCATGGAGTACTGGATTTTTGCTCAAGGAAATTGCTGACTTGTTGTCCATCAATAACAGAAACCTTCTTGGACTTTCACCGAGCATTTCTCCAATCAGCCGAGCTATCCAAACGCCTTGACATGCCGCCATAGACGCAGCCACATATTCAGCTTCACAAGTAGAGAGAGACACCGTCTTTTGCTTCTGAGAGGACCATGTTATTACATTCTGTCCAAGATGCTTTTACGATCCTCAACGTCTCCTGCCATGTCGCTATCACTATAGCCAACTATCTCAAGGTCTCCTTTTCCTCTCTTATAGAAACAACCATAACCAAGTGTACCACGCACATACCTCAGAATTTGTTTCACCAGCTTCCAATGAACAACTCCAGGAGCTTGCATGAATCGACTAACAATCCCGACCGCATAAGAGAGATCGGGGCGGGTGTTAGCCAAATATCTCAGACAACCAATCAAGCTTCTATATTTGGTCACATCTATAGAGCTCTTTTCGTCACCCGCGTATACCTTCAAACGAGCCTCTATAGGAATTTTGCAAGAATTACAATCACCCATGCCAGCTTGCTCCAAAATTTTCTTTGCATAGGCCGTTTGATTCAAAGTAATTCCTCCACTGTTTTGTTCAACTTCAATTCCAAGATAATAGGATAGTAATCCAAGATCACTCATACTAAATAAGTTGTGCATTTGGACCTTGAAATTACATACCTCTTCTTCTTTTCCTCCGGTGATTATCAAGTCATCAACGTATACACCGACAAGGAGTAACGAATCACCTTCTTGCTTCCGGTATAGGGCGTGGTCATGGCTGCTCCGTATAAAGCCAAGTGAGATCAGTGACTTATGGAGTTTCAAATTCCATGCTCTTGGCGCTTGTCGCAAACCGTATAATGCCTTCTTGAGCCGGTACACCTTGTCTACGTTTTCTTGATCAACAAACCCCTCCGGTTGTCGCACGTAGACTTCCTCCTCCAAATCTCCATTCA